CAGGGAAGGCAGAGCTAGAAGGCGCTGGGGACACAAGTGCTCCCATGTTGCACTCCTGGGAGGAGCCTGGGGAGGCCTGGGGAGGTGCAGGCCTAGGTGGCCAGAGCGACATTTCAAGAGGAGGGACTTGGGGGAGCAGAGGCCACCGGAATATGGGAGGCTGATTTGGGGAACCTTACAGAGTCCAGCTGGGGAGAAAGAAGCAGGGTGCAGTGGTGTCTGCTGTTGGGGACCCACTGGGGAGAGGACCAGTAACAGGTCAGTGAGGACGGCAGGTGCGTAGGGACAGGCAGAGGACCGTGGCTGGCAAGTGGGGGGCTTGGGTCTGTTTCACTTTTCAGGCCAAGCTGCCCTTGCACTCTCGGCAGGGGCAGGAAAGGGGTTAAAGAAAGGAGCAGGGCCTGGCCAGAGACAGGAAGCTTTGAGAGAGAGAGACGCGAGGCTCCAGCTGTTGTTCCCTGCTGCTTTTTTAAACATTTAGACTAGTTTTAGGCCTACATGAACGTTGCAGAAATAGTGTGGAGTCTGCCAGGGCGCCTCACTAGTTCACCGCATTGTCCTGCCTCATGTTACCCCGATTCACTCCTCACAACTGAAAACCAGCGCTGGCCCATTGCCGTCAACTGAACTGTCACTAGGTTTCCCGCGCCTTCGCTCGTTCTGTTCCAGGGTGCCACATGACAGCTGGATAGCCCCTAAACCTCCTCTCTCAATGACGGTTTCCATCTTTCCTTGTTATTCATGATCTTGACAGTTTTGAGAAGTACGGGCCCAAGTGTTTTATAGGCTGACCTCAACTGAGGTTGTCTCATGTTTTCCTCTTTCAAAAAAAAAAAAAAAACCAGCAGGAGTGAGGAAACAGAAATTTCCGATAAAACAATGGGGAAAGAGCTATTCTTTTTCTTCCTGTACTGTTGAGTGGATGGAATCTTTTTGGGGCCAGATGGCAGAAGCACTTTTACCAGCAAAACCAGACTGTTTGCATTTGGCTTTTGTTGGCAACAAACAAGGTCGCCAGGCTGACTGTGGGCAGCGCCCTGCCTGCGAGTGGTGGCTCTGGACTTTCTCTCTGCAGCCTCACCAGCCGGTGGTCGCCCTCTTTCAAGGGCCCCGCGATCAGGGGATTGTCCAGCGCGGCATGGGCATCAACCCCGCTCGGGTCCTGTGCTGAGAGACGAGGCGGCAGCACGGCAGTTGTGTGGCCCCGTGACTGCCACGTGCCAGTTAGTTAACGGGGGCGAACCTTCGACTTGTTAGCCTCCTACACATCTGTGCGGGTGCACCTCTGCGGCCACAGGAAATGGGTTCCAGGATCTCCCTGCCGCAGATGCCAAAACCAAGGATAATCAAGCCCCTTACAGAAAATGATGCATTTGCGTGTCCAGTGTAATGCAGTGTAAAGGCTTGGGCAGTTGGCACACAGTATTGTTTAGGGAACGACAAGGGAAAGATCCCTACGTGCTTAGTACAACACAACCAGCATAGAGGCAACCTATTTTCCCTTGATACAGAGAGCCAACAGTATGAGGGGTGATCTAAAAATATGGTGACTGTTTAATTTTCTTAAATGCATTACAGTAAGAGACGCATCGCCATTAACCCCCCTCACTCTGAGCACCTTAATCCATCCTTGCCATTTTCTGAAGCAGCTCTAGAAGTGCTGCTATGAATGTATTTAATTGTGCTGTTGTGGCTGCTTCAGTGTCCTGAATCAACTCGAAACATTTACTTTTTATAGGTCATTTTGACTTTAGGAAAGAGGCAGAAGTTATGTGGAGTCATAGCTGGTGAATAAGGTAGGTGAGGACACACCGTGATGTCTTTACAAGCCTGCCTTGCGTTGGACAGCACTCGGCAGCTGCATTCACCGTGTTTTTGATCATACCTCATAAAGATACTCATGAAAGAGGATTTCCATGGGGCGGGGGATTTAGCTCAGCAGCACAGCGCTTTCCCGGCAAGTGCAAGGTCATGAGTACGATTCCCGGTACTGGAAAAAAGTCAAAAAAAAAAAAAAAAAGAGGATTTCCAGAACTTCCTCAGAAAGTGGCAAGAAGGATGGCATAAGTGTGCTTGAGTCAAGGGGGTGTATTTTAAAGAGCAATTAACAGCAATGTATCTTTTCTTTCCTCTTTTTTTTTTTGAGACAGGGTCTGACTAGTCTCACTGTGCAGTTCAGGCTGGTCTTGAACTCATTTTGTAGCCCAGGCTGGTCTCAAACTTGCAACATTCCTCCTGCCTCAGCTTCCTGAGTGCTGGGATTACAGGCGTGCGCTACCACACCTGGCTCTAGCAATGTGTCTTTCAATGTAATAAAGTTTAAAAATTTAAATGCCCAGTCCCTTAATTGACTTAGTGCTCTTTCTAAAAGCCATAACTGTCTGATCTCGGCTATTAGTTTTTTCCTGTTTAGTTTCTCTATTGTGGAAGTAGCTGGAGGTGACAGCCCTTAGGCCATCCCATAAAGCAAATTCTCCTGAGAAGTACAGTACTGCAGAGCTCTGGGCACTGCGGCTGGAAGAGTTGTGGGCCATTCCGGTCTGCGGCCCTGCCATCCCGTCCCAGACAACCCAGCTAATGTGTCTCTCTAGTCACATTACAGGGCAGCTGGTAGCTTCCGTGGGGTCCCCTTGGGCCAGTCAGCTCAGAAGCTCAGTCCTAAATGGCAGCAGCCTCACTCATCCACGCTTTGGGCGAACAAGTCCCGCACCCCAGCCATCCCTTCCCTCTGGGTTTCTGGAATCTTTCTCTGATAGTGACTTTCAGGCGGAAAGACAGGTCTGTTGAAGCTTTTCCCATTTTTCTCAAGCCTGCTGCTTCTCCATTCTCATTATCACATAGTGTTATGACTTTGACAACCCAGCAGCATGATGTCAGGGTGGGAGGTATCCAGACCCTGGGGACCCCCAACTCCTGCACTTGGCCTTGGCCAAAGGGAGACCTAAATGCTTTTTTCCCTCTGGTCCATTTCTGCAAGCCACATCCTTACCACCCATGCACATGGACCAGAAAGTGTAAAGTAAAGTGGACAGACTGACAGAGAGGTTCCCCTTGGACACCTTGTTGCCTGCCCCCGCAGCCTGGGCTCGTTCCCAGGAGACCCAGCCCCACCGTGGGGAGCTGCTGTGCAGGCTGCAGCTTTGTGGCACCTTCTGCAGCTCAGCCCCAGAACACGGCAATGCTCTCCTTCTTCCCTTGGTGACTTGCAGAGTTTCCCTAGCAGATAAGGGATGTTGAGTAATTTCCCTCAGGGAGGGGGCAAGTGACTTGGGGATGATTCTCCGATAAGCACAAGCTAGTGCAGCTGCTCCCAGCTGGGCCAGGGTAGGAGACACCTGCTCCCCCCAGGAAGCAATGCTCTGCTACTTTGGGGTAAGGCCGGGAGGCCCTCCCTTGCCTGTGTGCCTTCCTAATAGGAAGGAAAATCTCATCTGTGTCTTAGGACCTGACATTCTCAGGTTGGCTTCAGCCCTGAAACCCCTCCACCTCCAGTACCCAGCCACGGACACTGCCTCATGTGGTGCTTAGCAAGGTTGCCACTGCCTTAGGCCAGGTGGGGACCTGGGCGTGGAGGGTGTGGAGCAGCTGCCCCAGAATTTAGGGTGCTGTGCTAGTTCACCGCTGTGCTGAGGCCAGGTTCCCCAAGGGCACTCAGTGCCTCCCCCTTCAGAAGTGCTTTTTCTAATCTCCTGTCTTCTTCAGCCATCCCTGGAAGGTGAGGCAGGACCATATCCCTGTTGCTGCTGTACAGATGGGGAAACTGAGGCGACAGCTCTAAGCCAGGAATGGCAGAGTGGGGTTGCAGAAACTCACCTCGGATGGGACTGGGTCAGCTCGCACCACAGGGCTGTGGCCACTTGTGTCCACTGCAGGCTGAGGTCTCTGGTGGCCACCATTTCCAGTCTCCACCCATCCAAACCGCTGCCATGGTGGAGAAAAGAAGGAGGGAAAGAGGCCATGACAGCCACTGGGGTCCTAGGGAGCAGAGCTCCACCTAAGGGGCCTCTGTGGAGAGCTTGGCACAGCGCCTGGTCCCAACTCCATGTCCAGCTGGCCCTGCACTGCCAGCTACAAGTGCCAGTCCATGAGCCCTGGTACAGGCAACAATAGGGGGGCTCAGCTGGCACTGGGGGGAGGGTTGCGGGAGACTTTCAGTGCAGCATTAGGCCCAACAAGGCCGCACCAGGATTGCCCTGTGAATGAGGGGCTGATGGAGATAAGCGAGCAGGACTCTGCCGCATCACACACCAGGCTGTGTGGTCTAAGGACTCCCAGCTGCCTTCCTGGTGCATATGTGTGTTCCTGTCTGTGTACACAGTGTCATGCACCTTTAGTCCCAGGTACTCTGGAGGCTGAGGCAGGAGGATCTCAAGTTCAAGCCAACAAGGACAAACTTAGCAAGATCCTGTCTCAAAATGTGAAGTGGGTAGGGATAGAGCTCAGTGGTAGAGCCCAAGACCTGAGTTCAATCCTCATTACCAGCAAAGGGGTGTAGGGCATTTTACCAGGGCACAGTGAGAATATTGACTCCACCCTAGACATCTGCTCACCCTCCACTATTCTTTCCTAAGTATCCCTCCCTCCACCTGAGGTCACCATTCACTTTGTGAATGTTGCTTCTTTTGTTCCTTTATCATTTATATGCACATGGGTATGCATACATATGTGTGTCCTATATAGTATAGTGATTTTTAACTATATGGAATCATTGCCTGAGTGCCTATGGCTAGCATCATTCTTCTTCACTGCTGTGTAGTATTCCATGGCTTCTAGTACTGATCTCTTGCCTATATAGCCATCTGCTAGATACATATTTCCAGCTTGCTGATATTTTTGGCACATGAATTGATCACACACTATCTTCGGATAGTACCAGGTGCAGTGTGTGGGAAGAAATGGTGGTCCTGAAGTATCAAGTTACAACTATCAGATCTCACCCTTAACTTGGGGACTGCATTCCCCGTGACAGCCAGTATTAACCAGTGTCGTGTGTCTTGCAGCTTGCTGGGATTGCTGTCCTTGCTATTGGACTATGGCTCCGATTCGACTCCCAGACCAAGAGCATCTTCGAGCAGGACTCTAATAGTAACTCCAGCTTCTATACAGGTAATTCGGCGTCCTCTAAGCCTTCAGACTGCCTGTTGACCAGGGGCCTGGGGCCTGGGAGGGACTGGGCAGGAGCCAGGCGTGTGCCTCTCGAGTTCTGCAGCTTTGTTGTGTGATTGTACCTGTGATTTCGCGTCCGACTGATGTGGTCTCTTTTCATGTTAGCTGAGCTTGGCAGTTTGACTGTTCTCTGATGTGAACTCAGCCCGAGCCAAGTTTGTCTTCATGATGGCTTCTGAGGCATCCTCCTCCTAATTCAGAAATCTTTGTCCTGGGGCTGTGCTATGCCAGGAAAAAATAAGTGGCTCTTCTTCCTAATATTTGAACAAGGACTCAGAGCCGGGGGAGGACCTGCCTCCTGGGTAGTGAATTAGGGGTGATGTGGGCGTGGCTCCATGGTAGAGCCCATCGGTAGCATGCACACAGCCCTGGGTTCAAGCCCCAGCATAGCCAAAGGAAGTTAATGGGGGGAGAAGAGCCTCTGTGCATCCTTGGGAGCCCGGTGCTGGGGTGAGTGCTGTGGGGTTTGGTTTAATTTGTTTTCTGACCTTTTTCAGCAGAAAGGTTTCCAACTTTAACACAGCTGGGGTCCTCTGATCATGACCAGACTAGCAGCTTTCTTTATACACAAAGCCAATTTGTCAACTTCCCTACCATCCTCTGTCCCCGTTGCTGCTGATCCGCCTCTCTAAAAGGAGAGTGCACCCGAGCCTGTCAAAGGCATCTTGCTGGCCTCCCAGTAAACGCGGACTTTGTGGTTCTGCTTTATTCCTGATTTGGGGAGTAGGAACCATTTCATTTGCGAGAAACAGAAGAAGTCCCCTATTTTTAGAATGAGGCTATCATGTCATCCAGCTCCAAGTATAAGTTTGGTCACTTCCTTCCCACCCACCACGGTTATTTTTACAGAAGGTGGAGAGAGCAGCCGACAAGGTTTATCTCCTAGTTGGGAGCGAGGTGGTGGCAGCTGACCAGCACACTGGTTACCATGTCCCGGGACAAGGGGCAGAGGCTCCATAAAAACAGCCAGTTTGGTTGTGCAGCACCCGAGCCCTGTGGATAGTTTTTCTGGTTTTCCTGCTTTTCGTTGGTTGGGGTTTTTTGGGGTGTGGCTCCCTATTGTCAGGATGTGAGGGAAAGGAAAGTACAGTGTATTTTCCTTTATCATGTATGCACACAGTTTTTAGGGAGCAGGTTTCCAGAGCGCCCTGACTTGTTTTAGCCACAGAGCCTTTTGTGTGTCTGCTGTGGCCACCCTGTAGAGCAGGAAGCGGGGGATAAGCAGGGATACTGCACAGAAGAGCGGGGCCAGCAAGCCAAGCAGACACCCCGCTCCATCCCCTAGTCATGCTGGGCTGTGAGTTCACCCCCTGGGGCCAGCAGACCTGCCCTCAGGAACAGGTGCCAGTCCAGGCCCACCGCTGAGCAAGAGCCCATGTGCCTCTATCTCAGAAGTCCTGCTCAGCCCTCCTGTCATTCTGGCAGCTCTTAATCACCCAGTTTGGGTTTTTGTTTTGTTTTTGTAGTGCTAGAGATGGAACCCAGGACCTCACACATGCTAGGCAAGCATGTGGCAACTGAGCTACCCACTAACCTTATTTTACATGTTCTTCTTCTGTAATTTGCTTTGTGTGTCACGGTATTGAAAACTGAACCCAGGGCCTGGAACTGAGCTACATCTCTAGCTCTGTTTATTTTTATTTTATTATTATTATTGTACTGGGAATCAAACTTAGGACCTCGGGCTTGCCAGGCAGGTGCTGTGCCACTGAGCTATATCCCCAGCCCCTATAACTTTATGTTGAGATAGGATCTTATGTTGAGATAGTCTCTAATTGCCCAGGGTGGATTTAAACTTACTACCTCCTGCCTCTGCCTCTGGACCTTACAGCCATGTACCGCCATGCCCAGCTCCGTTTTTTGTTACCTAGAACTCTTCGGCTAATTCTGTGTTTTCAGATGTGGGAGGCAAGGAGCTCATTGATAAGGAGATGGACTGGGAGGGAGGCGCTGGCATTTCTAGCCTTGTCTGTTGAGTCACTCGCTCACCATTGTAGAGTTTAATCCTCATAACTCCGTGTAGAGTGCATCCCATGTCAGAGACGAAGAAAGCAGGCCTAAAGGCTAAATAATAACTATCCCTATGTGAGAATTTTAAAAAATCTGCACAGACCCAGTGTTCCCACTGGTGGGAACAAGGTGGGTCTCTCTTGGCCTTTTGATTTCTCCCAAATTGTGGTCCCCATGTCAGTGGCCCTAGCCGGCAGGTGACAGGAAAAGCTGTACAAGATGGCAGCAAGGTGATGAGTATATGGTAAAGAAGCCAAAACCTTCATGGGGTTCAGATCCTGCAGGTCCCCGTGGGACCCCCTCAGTAACAAGTGTTCCTGAAGTGATGGGGGCACAATGCAGAGACAGAGCAATGTGGGAGAGGCTCGGAGCCTCACAGACCCTTTGCAGCTGGACCCCTTCCTGGGCCAGAGGACGCAGCTTTGTAGTTTTTTCTGCTTACAGCATGCTGGAGATCAGGGGATGACGCTGGTGACCCTAGGACATCAGCAAGCTAAGTGGCCACCTGGGTCTGGCTGGGGCCTGCCTGGGAAACTGAGTGGTTGTTGTCCCTGGACAAAGGGCCAAGGAGGCGTCACTGTCTGCGTCCTAGTGCCCGCGGGCTGAGACCAGGCTTTTGTGTGACCCCATAGCCATTCTCCCAGCTGAGGAGCCAGGCGTGCCAGTTACCCGCTGGCTGCTGTCCTGACATCATGGGGTTCGCTGTTCCTTGCACGGGGCTCTGTCTGCGGAGAAGCACAGGGAAAACCTCTCTAGTATTTAGAAGAGTTCATAGCAAGCCTGGGACAGCTGACACCCTTATATGGGCCCTCTCTCCAGTTCAGGCCCGGGAGATTCAGCCTGTCAGCAGTATCCATAATCCTGGGTATTTTGGTGAACTTCATTTTCTTGGTTCCAGGCCACCAGCTCTTCTTAACTCCTTGGTAGCCTTTTGAGACCAGGGCTACTGAGCGAGGGAAGCCAGGGAGCTTGAGCAAGAGGTCCTGGATGTCCACCGCTCCCTGAGGCTACCCCCTGTGTATAAATGGGTGCCCGGTGATTTTCCGGACCCAGGGCATTTGCCCTCAGGAAACTTGCCTGCCTCAACTGTGACTTGAAGCAGTTGGTTTGGTTTCCTGTGCCCTTTGGTTTTCTGTGCCTCATTTTCCCCACCTGACATGGGCATAGCTGACGTGGCCGCCCCTCTGTGAAAGACACTGTGCCTAGCAAGCAGAATTGCTCTGTGCTGCTTATTATTGAGAACAAGAGCCAAGAGACCAACTGTAGGGCAGAGTTCGGGCTCCTGTAAACCCCTGACTGGCCCACTCGGAGGTGGGCAATGGCCTCGAAGAGCCCAGAGGCACAGGCAGTTTGTCCCCCTCCCCACAGCGCTATTCTTGAGGTGGTACTGAGGCCATGACAGGAGGCTGCCGTGTCCTCTTCAGCCTGCACTGGGGACCCTGATACGCAGTGGGCGCGAGGCCCCCTTCCTGTGTAAAGGACGCTCTGGAGAACGCTACTGCCACCCTAGTCTTGTTTTTTGTTTTTTTTTTTTTCACTAGGCCTGTAATGTCAGGCTGGAAAAAAGCAGGATAAACAGCCCTTAAGCAACTGAGCGTGATAATCGTGGAGAAGGCCTGGGAGGAGTAACTTTTTCCATGAGTCAGACAGAAAGCTAACGTTCACTTGTTTTATAGAGGGGAACACTGTCATTTAGCATCACTAGCCTTTGCTAAGCGGCTTGAGGGACTGCCGAAAGCAGCTTTCCAAAGGGAAATGAGCAAACCGAGGCTGGTGGGTAGCTCAGTGGCAGAGCACTTGCCTGATCTGCACAGGGCCCTAGGTCCCAGCCCCAGCACCACAAGAAAGCGAGCAGCAGCCCCCGCCAGTGAGCCCTGCAGTGGATCTGTGACTGTCTGAGAGCAGAGCCCAGCTTCCAGATGACACCCACCCTGTAGCTGCTTGGCTGCCGGGTGCTGCTTACCCTCACCCTGGACTGGAGAGGGCTGTTAGGTCCGAGTGAAAGCATTAAAGCCATTGAGTCCTTTTATTTTAGTCTTCCTCTGCAGAGCCCTAGAATGAATATTTCGTATGAAGCAAGAGACCCGTTAAGAGAACGTTCACTTGCTGCACAGGAAATGCTCTTTCCTGTTGTAGCTCACTTGCTGCTGACCCAGCTGGCCAGGTCCTGTCTGGCTCGCCGGGCTTCTGCGCTGGGATGTGGATGCCGAGAAAACACGTCTGTGTGTTCCCTCCCACCCGGCTGTATTTCATGTGCTTGAAAATCCTTTTGCTCTCTTAGTACCCCTCAGTTACTCAGTGCCTGCTCGGGCATTCACAGAGGAGTCTCATCCGTACGAGATGGAGAGAGATGGGGCTGTCCCACCGCCTCACTGGCTGGCGTCCCCGTGCTAGGACGAGCAGAGGGAGGTGGCTCTCCCCAGGGCCCCATGCATGGGGTTGTACTGCAAAAAAAAAAAAACAATCTCCACATTCTGCCTGCAGCCCCACTGCACTTGACTGCTCGAGGGATGACTCGAGGACAGGCTGCGTCTGTCCCCTTGCCCAGTCTGGGCTGGGTGTGCACAGGAACAATACCCGTATTCATTTGACTTGTGGTTTGCCAGCAGCCCCACGTGACCTGACATCACAGCAGATGTGGGGGAGAAGGGAGAGGCACAAACGCCGCCTGTGTGCTCTGCTCGGCGCTGCCCATGTGCCTCAGTGGCAGGTGGGTGGACCTCAAGGTCTGTCTCAGCCCCACGCCAGGGTCACTGTAAGGTGAGGTCACTGTGTCACCTGCTGAGAGGTCTCGTCATGTATCCTGTTGAGTCTTGTGGGGGAAACAGCTCTACTCATTTCCAGCCCTGGAAGGATGTTTCTCTGACCCCAGTTAAGGGACAATATGGAAAGAACATCAAATATATAAAATCCATTGCTGTGCTTATTAATAATTGTTACCTATCTCTTGGATTATTGAGATTAGTAAGAGCTAGCGTTGGTCGTGGATGTGGGTCATATCATTTAACCCTCACAACAGACCTTGAACTTGACATTGATACCACCCCTCCTTATTTGTGTGTGTGTGTGTGTGTGTGTGTGTGTGTGTGTGTGTATAACTGGGACACACTGGGGATCAAACCCAGGGTCTTGCACATGCTAAGCTGGTGCTCTACCAAAGAACTATACCTCCAGCCCAACTGTCCTTGTTTTGCAGGTTAAGAAAACCTTGCACAGAGAAATTAAATAGTGACTACACAGGCACAGAGCATTCAAACCCAGACGTGCTAAGCGTCAGAGGGACTGCTCTTGATAGAATGTGCCTACAAGACGGGGATGCTGGGACTTCTGCTGTTGTTCACACAGGACCTTTGGGGGTGAAGGCACTGTGTTCAGGTGTAGTCACTGCACGGGGTCATCCCTGCAGGACAGCTGTGGTTTCTCAAGAATATAACTAGGATGAGCTCCTCTGGGGATCCCCTTGGTGTAGCATGGAATGCACGAGGCCAGGTTTGCACCCTTGTGTCCCCTGTCCCAGGAATTTGCATTGTTTGGGGCACAGAAAAGAATTGTAGAAGAATTGCCCTTCCCTTCCTCTTCCTCAGCCTCTCCAATTGAAGGCCTAGTAGTGGTGTTTCTCACCCTCCTCTTAGCAAGGAAGATCCTTTTCACCCTTTATCTGGAGTAACTACATTGCAACTATAACCTCTCCTTAGTATGCTATAGGAGATTCTCTAAGTCAGCCTCCTCAATTTTACTAGGTAAGGAAACTGAGGCCCAGAGAGGAAATATGTCTTCCCAGAGGACACACTGTGGGTGGAACTGGAAGAAGGACTTTTCTGATACCCAAATATGTGTCCTTTGCACTAGAGCAAGATAGTTGTCCCTTTGCCAGCGTGTGCCCTGCGTGTTCTAACCACACGTGCTCGATAGCTTGGCACAGGGTTGGCCCTGAGAGAGTCAGGCAGAGCTGCCTCCTGGAACATGGACATCTGGGTGTCCACAATCTTCCTGTGTGCTCTGACACATCCTGTGGTTAGAAATAGGAGCAGAGGTGGAAGAGACTGATTGTGAGGGAAGCAGACTTCTTCCCTGAGGCAGGATGGTAAAGAGTGGGAGACACATGAAGTCACACGGGGGAAAAACGGAGAAACTGGAGAAACCTGGACCTGCAGACTAATGGCTCTGTTGTGTGCCCTTCTCTTCCTCCTCCCCACAGGAGTTTACATTCTGATTGGAGCTGGAGTCCTCATGGTGGTGGTGGGTTTCTTAGGCTGCTGTGGGGCTATCCAGGAGTCGCAGTGCATGTTGGGATTGGTGAGTACCCCTTCCTCATTCTCTGTGGCCAGTCTGACTCCTGGCCCCACTCCCTCCCCATCCTCCCAGCAGACCCCATCTGTAGAACAGGCACAGTGAGGCATGATAAAGAAGACGCCTCCATAGCAAAGCTTTCCTCCTCCTTTTGTGTTCCTCCCTCCTGACCCTAGCCAGCTGCCATCTTGTCTGTGACCCTAGCCAACTGCCATCTTTTTGGCAGCCCAGGCCTCTCCCCTGTGGAAGGCATCACTCCTCTGCCTTTCTGGTACCATTCTTATTATTCCCTTAGGCAGCTAAATGCCAAGACCTTGTTTCTCCCTTTCTTTTTTTTTTTTTGAGACGGGTGTTGCTATGCAATTCAGGCTGGCCTTGAGCTCACTTTGTAGCCCAGACTAGTCTCAAACTCACAACAATCCTCCTGCCTCAGCCTCCTGAATGCTGGGATTACTGGTGTGTGCCACCATACCCAGATTGTTTCTCCCTTTCTTGAGGACCATGTTTGCTTTTCTTCCTTGAATCCACAGGGACTTTTACCTTCTCTCCTTCTTGTTTCAAAATGTGTTAATGTCTTCCTCAAACCCCACAGAGTGTATTCACTGCCTTTGTTTCCCCCAGTCTTAGTGGCGTTTGTGAGTTACTTTTTTTTTTTGGTACTGGGAATCAAATTCAGGACCTTGCACTTGCCAGGCAGACGCTTGTGCTGCTGAGCTCTATCCGACCCTACTTTTTTCACTGCTAACACCCTGTAAGTGTCAGCATTGGGGCTTCTATGCCTCACTGTGCTCCAGGAGAGGTGCCCTTCCCACATGTGAATCCCTCTGCCCTTCTAGGTTGTCCTTGTGTGTCCCCAGATAGCTTCATGCTTCCTTCTTCCAAATACCCTTTGCTGTTCTGACTGGTTGTCTGGGATTGCGCCTCACTCCATCTCCTTTGCCCTTCTAGTTCTTTTGCTCCCTCTTGGTGATATTTGGTATTGAAGTAGCTGCAGCCGCCTGGGGCTTTACCCACAAGGATGAGGTAAGTTTTTCCCACATGAACTCTTGGGTCCTGCAGTGATCTGGATTTGAAAGTTGCGGGGCCAGGAAGAGATGAAGGTTCTGGCTGGCCCCTTTGGCTGGCTTTCAGCCACTGGGCGTGACTCTTCAGCCATCAGAACACTCGCTCCTCCAGGGCGGTATGTGACACTGTGCCCTCTGCTGATGTTGTGCCAGCCTCAAGGCTGTTCAGGACTCTCCACTGGGGAGATTTGTGTGTTTGTCTCATAACTCAGCACCCCCAACTCTTGGAAAATTTCTGGAAACAATGGCGTTCTGCTGGGGAGGGCACCCTTGTTCCTTCTAATCTATAAATGTGTGTTCAGGTGCCACCACAAGCCAACTGCAGTGTCACGGAGAGTCCACAGAGCCCCAGGCTGTGGTTCCCCTCTCTGAACTTTGCCGTCTAGTATGGGAAAAGGATTTTTGACAAGTGTCATAGAAGTGATTTATATCCGAAAGTGCTATGGGATTTGGAACGATGGCGAGAAAAAGAGGACTCTCTTGTGGCTTCGTGAAGAAGGGAGCACTGGCTCAGGCCCTGAATCTGGGGAGAGGTCACAGGAAGAAGGAGGGTGGTGGCGGAGACTTCCTGGCAGGGGGAGGGTCTCAGCGCAGCAGAGCTTGCACTTTGCAGGGAGCAGCAGAGAGGGGGGCGGGAGGGGGGGCCAGCCAGGGCCATTCCAGCAGCACAGCATTTAGGAAGGGCCGTCTCGTCTCGTTCACCAGGGAAGCGGGAGGAAAAGAGATCCTGGAGACAGGAGTCCTGCTTTAAAAGAAAAATAAATTTTCCAAGCAACAAAAGCCACAGCCGTAGGAAAAGCAAGGGATAATTATGAAAGAAAAGTGCCAGAGCCTGGTCTGCTCATTGGGTTGGGTGAAGGTCAAGGAGACAGATGTGCCTTAATTCGGCCTTAGTTTAGCCTCCGTGGTTTGATATCCCAGCTAACACTGCTCCCACATTCACTCTGCACTAGGCTCGCTGCTAACAGCAGAATGTGCAGTGTCTCACTTAAGTCTTCACAATAACCCATGAGCTATGGAGACTCTCACCATACCCTGTACAGATGCAGAGTGAGATGTGCAGAAAGGTTTTGGGCTGGGGATGTAGCTCATAGCACAGCGCTTGCCTGGCAATTGAGAGGTTATGTGTTCAACTCCCAGTACCAAAAAAAAAGAAAGGTTTTAATAATTTGCCCAAAGTCACACCTACATGAAGAAAAACACAGAGAAGCCTGAAGAACCAGTAAGGTCAGGAGTAGGAAAAATCTTTTTGTTTCTTTTCTTTTTTTTTTTTTTTTGGTACCGGGAGTCAAACTCAGCACCTTATGCTTTCCAGGCGGGAGCTTATGCCACTGAGCTATATCCCCGACCCCCTTTTTGATTCTTTTAATGGAGGAAATTCCGTTTAGTTAACAGGCAGAAGGGAAGGAAGTGAATAGGGGTAAAGGGCCCAGCAGAGGTGCAAGAGAAAAGGACAATGGCTGGAGGAGGTGGAGGGGCCACAGCAGCCCTTAGAAAGGCAGTATTAGTGCTTCGCTCTGCTGGGTGACATCTTCCAGGCACAGGAATTTGTTGGCTGAGGACTTGAAGACAATGACAGGAAGAGCTGGTGGATGTGAAGAAGTATGGGAGAAAGCCATCTCTGTCCCTTGCTCGTCTGTCCCCTGTAGGTAATTAAGCGCCTCCAAGACTTTTACATCGACACCTATGCCAAGCTGAAAAACAAGGATGAGCCCCAGCGGGAAACGCTGAAAATCATCCACAAAGCGGTAGGCAGCCTTCGCGCGGACCCTGGCCCTCCTGGCGGGTGGCAGAGAGGTCTGAGGCAGGTGCCAACTGCGCCCAGCCAGGATGCCTCTTCCAGTCATCTCCCCATCCCTGTTTTCTCTGCAGTTGGACTGCTGTGGCATAGTTGGTGGCATAGAGCAGTTTATCACGGACATCTGCCCCAATAATGGCATCCTCAACAACCTCAAAGTCAAGGTAAACTGAGGAAGGCGCTCCTGCTGCTCTGTCCTTGTCACTCCAGGCAGATCTGAAACGATGGGCATCTGAGTGCTTCCTAAAGACCCTTTCCAGTGGAAAAGGCCCCAGGGAGACCACCCCACTTCTCCCCTGGCCTGGGCCCTCTTGAGTCTTAGACTCTTGTGTTTTAAACTTGGGAAATGACTTGTGATTGTATGCTACTGTCCAGGCTCCCAAGTAATAAAAGGGACCTTACAGCCATATCAGAACTGACCCCATTGGGCCAGGGGTGTCGCTTAGTGGGACAGCGCCTACCCAGCATGCACAAGTCCCTGGGTTCCATGCCCAGCACTGAGGGGGTGGGTGAGGCTAGAGGCAAACCTCTTCCTTCCTCAAGTCTCGCCCAGGAATTAGGGACCCACCTCTCGTGTCACTTGGATCCCCTTTCATCCAGCAGCCAGCCCATCTCTTTCTCTGAGCACACCCAGTCTCCAAACACGAGGGTTCCCCGTGTAAGACAGGAGCATGTGGGTGTCCCCAGCATGGGGATTGTGGGTGACCTGGATCTCCTTTGCCTCCCCCAGCCCTGCCCTGAGGCCATCAGAGAGGTCTTCAACAACAAGTTCCACATCATTGGTGCAGTGGGCATTGCCATCGCTGTAGTGATGGTGAGTGGCAGGTCATCTTCTGTTTTTGGTCTTAAAAGTTGGTAACACTTACTGAGCACAAGCTCTGGAGGCACTATCTGAAATGCTGCATGTTCATCACCTAACATAATCTCACCACCCCTGTAAGATAGGAGCTTTAGTATTTCCGTTTTGCCTCTAGGAAGTAGAGGGGTGGGGGTATGGCTTCATGGTAACACAGTGACCTCGTATGTGCAAAGGCCCTGGGTTCCATCTCCAGCACCCACACAAAAAGGAAATGGACAGGTTGAATGCACTGATCAAAGCTTTAGCCTGTGTGAACTCCGGGTGTCTCCAGAACCCATTCTCTTCACACTGAGGTTCCAGGGCAGATGGATGGGGCTGCCATTGCAGCTGCTCCACAAGCGTGTGTCCCACATGCCCCAAGAAATCAGTTTTCTAGAGGTTTCACTTCCTCCCATAGTTTGAAAGGCTCCCAGAGGTAACCCAGCCAGTCGGAGGACTGGGTATCACTGATAGGCTATCCTGCTGCCCATCTGCCCCTAGAAACCACCAAAGGCCAACCAGACTCTTCGGGGTCACCCCATTCTCCTGATAGGGGTGTGCTGGAAACTGCACTGGGACTGTCCCTGTCAGGGGTGGCTGGCCTCACCAATCTCCAGTCTCTGTCACTGCCCGCTTCCTCTGTCCCTCACAGGCCTGCCTCAAAAGAGATTTGTCTTCTTTCTCAGCAGTGATTCACACAGCTTCTCTGCAACTAATAAAGGCTTGAAGCAGCTTTATAGAAAGCGACACACTAGTACCCTTTAGAGTTTTAGACACACACGTCACAAAGATGAAAGCAAAAGTGCTAACCTCCAGCTGAGGGTGTGGCTCAGTGGTAGAGCGCTTGGCCGCCTAGCATGCAGGAGGCCCCGGAGTTCGATCCCCAGCTCCTGCTCCTAACCTGTGCTCTACTGAAATTCTGGGAATCCAAACTTGAATGAGCCTCTGTATTTACGGGTGTCACTGTGAAAGATCTCCAGACGAGGTGCCTGGGCAGTTTGTTAGCAGCTGACTGCCGACTGGGCACCGGCCCTTCCCGTTCGTTATCCAGCCTCCCTGTGTGTTCAGTACCATTGGACTCTCACGGCCCTGAGGAACCCACCTTGGACTGAACAGCTGGCATCCCCTTTCCCCCCAGCCTTCTTTCCCATAGACAAACGTCCTCGTTCTTCTGTCTTGCAGATATTTGGCATGATCTTCAGTATGATCTTGTGCTGTGCGATCCGCAGAGACCGAGGGATGGTCTAGAGTCAGCTTATTTCCCCGAGCAGGAAGATTGACCCCTGAAGATTGTTGGGTGTTTTGTTTTGTTTTTTTTGTATTTTAGGGGGGAGTTTTTTTTTTTTTTTTTTTGCCACTAACATTAGTATTCATTCTGCATTTCTAAACGAAAGTTCTGTGTTTGTCATTTTAATGCTTCATTCAATATTGACATTTATAGTTGAAGGATTTGGGGGTTTTGGTTTGCCTTTTTTTTTTTTTTTTTTCCAGTTTATTTTTGCTTGTTAAGCAGAAATCCTGCAATGAAAGGTACTATATTTGCTAGACTCTAGACAAAAAGATATTGTACATAAGGAGAATTTTTTTTGTCTTTAAGTGGATAAAAATGTCTATCAAATTTAATCAGGTTGTAACTTATATTGAAGACAATTTGATACATAATAAAAGATTATGATAATATCCAGGACTGGCTTTTGGCTTTTGCTTCATTTTCTGTAGAGCTATATCATTTTCAAATGTTTTTCAACTATTCTTTACTCTTACTGTGCTTGTGTGAAGTTCCTAGTGAAGAAATCGAGTCATGGAGAGATGAGAAACGGTCCAGGGTTACACGATTGTCAGTAGGAGAACTCATCCCAACGAGCTGAGTGATGGGCTTTGTCTCGGGGACACAAAAGTACATCGAGTACCAGGATGGCAGGAATTTCCTTCCACTCACTGCTGGGCCCCAGCACCAAGCACGGGCTCACTGTTCTTGTCCATGATTTGTTCTTTGAGTGACTGAATGAGTGTGTACCCATCAGGGTTCAATCAGAGATGCGCATGTGCGGGAACTTGTCACAGGACTTGGCCCCTCCACGACCACTGGAGCTTGTTAAGTGGTCTCTGTGGGAAGTCTGGAGGGACAGATGAGAACGCCCATTAAGGGGAGACCAGGAACAAGCTGGAGCTACAAGCACAAATTAGGCCCGATGGTGATAGATAAATCCAAGTCCTTGTCTTCTCTGGTGCTGATGGTGTGAGACCTACAGGGACAGAGCCTTTGGTCAAGGAGCTAAACACACACTCTTCTGGGAGGAGGAGAAGCTGGCAGACAGAGCCAGCCAGGATCTGTCTTCTTCCCTCCAAACCTCCTACAAGGCTCTCCCTGCCCGCCCTCAAAGGGGAATGCCCAGCAAGAGGGATTCTGGGAAGTGTAGTTCAGATGCCTGCACTGTAGTGTAGAGGGCAGTCCAGGAGCCAGGCGGGAGGCTGCCAGAGAGAGAGAAGAACAGGGCACAGGAAGCCTATTTTTATTTACCACTCCTTGATTCATTTTGAGTTTTCTTAATGTTAAAAAAGGAGAGAAGGTGAAAGAAGAATCAAAATGTCCCTGAATGACTTGTTGGGGATCACAGAGGGGAGAAGGAAGTGTGGAGGGGGTAAACGGATGAAGAATGACCATGCTATGCTGTATGCAGGGACAAGTTCCTCAGACAAATGTAGCTACTGTTCTGTGCTGCAGACGCACCCTCCTTTTTTTGATAGCCCTAAATGGTCAGGCATGGTGGCGCGCACGTCTATAATCACAGCACACCGGGGGGGCTGAGGCAAGAGAATCACAAACTAAACGCAACCTGAACAACTGAGCCATTTAATGAGACCCTGCCTCAAAATAAATTTTAAAAAGGCTGGAAATGTATCCCAGTGTAATCCCCAGTGCTGGGGGAAAAGAAGTCCCTGAGGCCATTATATTCAGAAACCGGAACTCTCGTGTTAACAAACTGAGTCACAATAGTTAAGAGGTAGACGCAACCCAAGGACCCGGTGGATTAACACAGTGGAATATTCAGCCTGGGAAAGATGCAGTTCTGACACGTAAGGATGAATCTTACTGTTAGGCCAAGTTAAATAAACCAGACAGAAAAGAACAAACATCCTCTAATTCCATTCAAATTCACAGACAAAAAGATTCAAGGCAACCAGAAGCTGGGGAGAGGACCGACAAAGACTTTAATGAGTACAGAATGTCTGTTTGGAATAATGGAGCTGTAGAAGCACATAGTGGTGATGGTTGTGCAACTGTTAAAATATACTTAGTGCCACTGACTGATGCACCCAGGTGTGGTGGAGAATGCCTGTACACCTGGTACTATGGGAAGCTGAGGCAGGAGGATTGCAAATTTAAGCCTAGCCTGAAAAGCTTAGTGACTTAGATCTTATCTCTAATAAAGGCTCAAGCAGGAAGGCCCTGGGTTCAATCCCCAGTACTGCCAAAAAAAAAAAAAAAAAAAAAGGTAAACTCCATGTTAGGTATGTTTTACTACACATGCAAAAAATCAGCTGGGTTAGCATCCTTGAGTCATGTTACTGCTGTGGCCCTACATCCCTTCTCCATTTGAATATCTAAAACTACCTATTGTTCCGGTTATGGAAATATATGATCAACCATTGATTTTATGCAAGTTGCAGAGAGCATCTGAGAAACGTGAACTGTCAAATGGCAGAGTCAGCTGCAGGCCGTGGGTCCCTGCCCGGGGTCATCAGGAATCTAAGGGCTTCATTCCACCAAGCTAAGAACTCTCTTGCCCCTCAACTGTGACTTGAGCCCACCCGGGGATATGTGACCAGGAACTTCCTGCCCCACCCACCCTGGCTTCCTGCTGGCCTGGTGAGGCCCTAGCAGCTAATGTAATTGTCTCCATTCAAGTCTTGGCCACCAGGCCCCTGGAAAGCTAATTTAATTTCTTTCCTCTAAAATTGGATTTCCCCAAACCATCTGCTTTCCTTGGGGCAATGCAGGCATGGTCAAATCTCATCCCGGTGTGGAATCACCACCACTCTGCAAAGCTCCCGGAGCCAGACCTGAACTTCTGGCCAGCGAAGCTGTCCCAACAGCTCCTGGAGGGACAGTGACCAGCCCTGTGGACCTCACTGTGATATGAGCTGTCCAAGTGACCCTCAGCAGCACTCTGGGAGCTGGGAGATGGGGATTATTCTCCTTTCTTCACATGCGGAGAAACTAGGGGCCAAAGAACAGTCATTGCCTTGCTTGGGACCTGTAGAAAAGAAGTACCCCATGGCAGGAAAACAGAGACACCAGGGATGCATCTACGTTTGGTTTACATCTGTGACATCCAGCTGGCACAATCTTGGGCTTTAGTGCCTTTGTGAGTTGGAGCTGGTATAACATACATGACAGCATTTATTTTAAAAATCATCTATGAAGTGTCATTAAATAAATGGTATATGTTTAAGTGTATCACAGTAAAGACACATTGCCATTAATCCCTGTCAAAATACTCCCCCTCACCTCTTACACACTCTATCCCATCTTTCTTGCCACTTTCTTTTTTTGTTTTTTGGGGGGCTTTTTGTCTTTTTGAGACAGGGTCTTGCTATGCAGTTCAGGCTGGCCTTGAGCTCACTTTGTAGCCCAGGCTGGTCTCAAACTCACAACGATCCTCCTGCCTCAGCCTCCTGAGTGCTGGGATTACAGGCGTGCACTAGCACGCCCCGCTCCTCTTGCCACTCTTTCATAAGTGTCTTTAGTTGTGTGGTCATGGCTGCCTGGATGTCCTGAATTGATTCAAAATGTTTACCTTTCATAGTCATTTTAACTTTGGGGAAGAGCCAGAAGTCACCCATGCTGTGATGTGGGGAAAAGGTGGATGAGGACACAGTGTAATGTCTTTACAAGTCTGCTTTCCCATTGGATGGCGTTTGGCAGCAGCATCCACCATATTTTTTTACACTTTGTAAACACGCTCATGAAAGAGGACTTCCAGAACTGCTTAGGGAACAATGGAATAAGTGTGTCTGGAGTGAGGGTAATGTGCCTTTTAGTGAAATTTTTTAATTGAAGCATTCACCGTATTTTTCGATCACCCCTTGCACAACATCTCTGTGCATGATGACTGAGCGTGTTATAGGATGGCAGCACGCAGGCTGAACAGATTCCAGCATGGCGCCCGGATTTATCTGAAGACTGTGGCCGTGCGGGTGGCAGCAGCTTCCCTGAACTTGTCCTTGGAGCTGAGTGCAGGCTGGAGGCACAGTCCTGACATGTGGGACAGTACAGCTTTGATTAAGGTCATGGTGAAGTTTTAGCTCCATTTCAGAGTGCCCTGAAAATGGTGAAACTTCAGCAGCTTCTGACCACAAAAGTGGAATGCAGAAAAAGCAGTCTTTTAGTATTTTAGAAGCCAGGTACGGCCGGGGATATGGCTCAGCGGTACAAGTGCCTGCCTAGCAAGCACAAGGTCCTGAGTTTGATTCCCAGTACCACAAAAAAAAAAAAAAAAGAAGCCAGGTATGGTGGGGCACGCCTGTGATCCTGGCACTCAGGAGGCTGAGGCAGAAGGATCAAAAGTTTGGGGTCAGCCGGGGCTACACATTGAGTTTAAGATCTGTCTGAACTACATAATGAGACCCAGTCTTTAAAAACCAAACACAAAAGGAGAAAGAGGAGGGAAGGAAGAGGAGAAGAAGGAAGACGATGAAGAAAGAGAAAGAGAATTAGAGAAAGAAGAGGAGGAGAAAGAAGGAAGAAGCTGCATTGATGCAACTACCTTTGTTTGGGGATGGAAATAAAGAGAAATTCTGTCTGATCCACTTTTCATAACCTGTGAAGGACCTACCATGGGAAAGAAATGACAGGAGAATGGAGACGAAATGCAAACCTGGTACTCAGCAAGTTAAAGTTAGGGATCCTCTGAGTCTCCTGAAGGCACACTCAATCCCATAGGATGAAAAGAGACTCAGAAACCAAGTGCAGTGGTGCAGACCTGAAGCCCCTGCATGCAGGAGGCTGAGGCAGGATGATCTGAATGTGAAGCCAATCTGAATGACATAGTGAGACTCTGTCTAAAAAAAAAAAAAAAAAAAAATAAAAGCTTGGACTATACAGAGAGAAAAACCAAAAAAAAAAAAAAAAAAAAAAGAGAGGAAAGAGAGACAGAGACAGAGATAGACGCAGACAGACAGACAGACAGAGACTAACTCAGGGCAACTGCTATCTCTTGTGTCAGTCTCCCTACTCAAGTAGACCTAGAAAAGCCTAACCCCAAATGCAGTGGTCACCATTCTTTGGGTCATCTGTCCTCTTATTTCCTCCATTACCAGCATGCGGTTCCCCATCTCCTCCCCTGCTCCTGACCCTCCTGTGATGCCTGAGCATCAGAAGGTACCACAGGAGTCAGGTCCATGAGGGACTTGCTAGCCACTCATAGTTTAAAGCCAAGCAGAAGAAGGCAAGCACCCTTCCACACAGTGCCAAGGTCTCTGTCCCAGGCAGAGTCCTGTTCCATCAGGCTCCGGATGATACAAGCCAGTGCATCATCATTTTCTCCATAAACAGTTGTGCATTGTAGAGTTTATATCTCCTTTTGATTGAAGTAGATTGGACATTGTTAAATAACCAATGTATAATCAGAGTCTAGCCAGGAAAACAGAATCCAAAATAGGTCATTCATCAGAGA